TTTCATAGATTTATTTGACGTTCTAATCTCTTAAAAACTCTCTCGGGGAAAATTATATGCGGAGAGAATTTTCTCGTAGAATTTACTCTGAAAATTATGGTAATCGTGAGACTATATAATGTGGTATTGAAAAATTTTATAATATATTTACCACGATAAAAATATATTAATATCTACTATAATAATAAGGTATAAAATATGTTCGATTAATTTTACTGTGTACGTATTAATATTTTTTATTGTGGCAAATATTAATTCGAGAAACTCTTATAAAATTCTTTCAATATCGTATTGTCCCACGATTACTTTCGGGATAAATTCTAAGAGAAAATTCTCTCTGTATATTTACATAAAAAATTTTCCAAGATAAGAAAAAATGATCTAACAATATAAGATAATACAGTACAAAATGTTTCCAAATAGAGTAAAGAAGGGAAAGAAGATTTAATATTATGTAAAATTTAAATACACTGCCAGTAATTTTTTGATTACTTGAATGTTCAGTCTCGATTTTTTAAGATTCTATCTTAAAATTATTATTCCCGTTTTTATTCAGAAAAGATGAAATGTATGCTCTTTTATGTAATAACAAAATTATCTGTAGACAATTTAAAATACAAAACATTCCATAGAAAAAAGAATGATAATGAAGTATTCTCTTCTAAAATATTCTTCGAATTATTTTTTATCGATATTCGCTTTATGCGCACTTATTGTTAGTCTATGACGAAACTGACAATTTTCAAGGATAAGATTCTGGCAGAAAGTTTCGACTAGAACCAGGGAAATGGAAATGAGGGGGAGAAGCAGAAATGCATCGAGCGAGAGGGAAACGTAGCGAAAGCGCGTAATACATTCCTGATACCAGCCGAACTATTCGCGTTACAAAACGAGCAACAAGTCTCCCATCTCTGATCAATTTTCTCTCGATTATTCCAGAAAGAAACGAGCTTTAATTACATCGGAGAAATTATAATAAAAGATATTTCAAGGTAAAACATATACAATATACACTTATATATATTTCTCTATAAATTAGATTTTTTTCCCTGTAACAAGTTGAAATTTGATAGCGCGCGATAATGCGAACTAATGATTTAACGTAACAATTAATCGGTCGATCGGGATTGCAGTGGACCATCCAGAACCAATCGCCTGTCGATGGCTCGTCAATCGAGAATTCAAGCGTACGACCAGCCGCGTACTAGGCGAACAGATTTCGGGGTAGGCGTTTAACGCGATCCCCACCAATTCAAAACCACGTGACCGTCGTCCTTGCAGGATCAGGCTAGTAGTCTTTTAGACAGTTGGCACGTGTGTCCTCTTGCCCGAAAATCTTCCGTTCCGACATCGTCGGGTTTGCGGATTCTGACAGATAAGCCCTTCGACCGCTTTAATCAAGTTTACTTCTTATATATATATATATATATATATATATATACAGGGTGCCTGACATAAGGTGTCACACCGAAAATATACAGGTAGATGTTCTTATTTGGAGACAATTTTTCCTCGGTAAAAACCTTGAGACGTCAATCATTTTCGAGTTATAAGCGATTGAAAATAAAGGGTTTTTCGCAAACTCAGGCTTGTGGAAATAAAGTATTAACAAAATCACATTCTCCAATTAATTTCAAGTAGAGTTTACTTCAATAAAATTTTAATATAAGATTTAGTTATAAAGATACTGATGGCAAAAATTGGAAACATGCAAAAAATGATGACCTCCTTCGACATTTTTGTTGAGGAAAAATCGCCTCCAAATGACAAGATCTTGTATATTATCGGTGTGACACTTTATGTCAGACACCCTGTATATATAGATATGCGACGTAATTCAGAACTTTCTACTCCATTAATCAAAATTATATACTATCGTGTTAATTATAAAATTGACGTGTTAATCAAAGAGTTCTTGGAAAATTCTACGTCGAGTATGATAAACGATGGAGATTTATAATTGGAATATGTAAAAAAATATGTATCAAGGTAAAAATATGAGTAAAAAAACAAGATGTTCATATTCTCGTGCAAATTTATACACCAGGAGCTTCATTATATTTGATGCATCTTTGGGATTAAAATAACCGCAGTATAATTTTTTCACCACTCTCGCAATTTTGCGCACGTTGAGTTAATGAGATTTTTATTCCAGTGCTTGTATTCGTCAGATTATATTCTGCTTCGCAGAACAGAATATTCGACATGTGTATGTATTCTCTGTTAAATATTGCATTTTTAAAATATATTTAGTTTTGAAAAATTATCTGAAAGAATTATACACAAATTATTCATTAATCGTAACTTGTCTAAATTTTGCGCTGAGGATGCAATGATATTTCTAAAGTCATTATATTAGTTTTAACATATAAGGTATAAGATTAAATCTTCAGTGTTTATCATATTCAAAGTACTATAATTTTGCAAGAACTCTTTGATTAATACGTCAATTTTATTATTAACATGATAGTATATAATTTTAATCAACAGAGTAAAAAGTTCTAGATTAATATTGCACATGTTTTAGAGGATAGTTCTTTTTATTTAAAGTAGCCATTTTTTATAGATTTTAGATTTATTCATTTTTTTAAAACTCAATTTTATCCTTTATTTTAACAACGGATAACCTCTTCTCTGGAATTTATTTAGGAAACCAAGGATTTGTTTCAACATCGAATCAGTTTCAAACTATAAAGAATATATGTAGATTTCTGAGTCACAGAATTATTATTTTGCTCGTCGATTTCTTTTGATTACAAACTGATTTGGAAACACGTAGAAACAAAAAGCCCTAAAATTTTTAGTTTATTCTTTATCCTCTCTTAAAAAATATAACGCAATAAGAAGTAAATTTTAAAGGCACGGAAGACTTTACAGAATCCACAGATTAAAGTCAGAATAAAGTCTCGCAATTTGTGACATCAGCAATTCTGAAATTCACATAATTTCTAGACAGCTTAATAAATTCGCCAATTCGGAATCTAACTTTTGTTGTTAGTTTCTTTTAGAAATTATTTTAGTAACTTTCTTTTATAGAATTTACTCTGAAAATCATGGTAATGAAGAATTTATAACAGTTTCTTTAATTAATATTTATCACAATAAAAAATATTAATAATATCCATGATAATTTTTGCTAAGTATACGCACATAATAAAATTAATCAAACATTTTATATATATCATTGTGGATATTAATATTTTTATTATGGTAAATATTAATCGGAGAAACACTCATAAAATTCTTCCACTATCATATCGTTCCAATTACCACGATTTTCAGAGTAAATTCCAAGAGAGGAAATTCTCTCTGTTGAATCTTATATAAAGAACTCCCAAACAGCTTATCATTAAATTCGTCAATTCGGAATCTAATTTAATCGCGCCTAATTATCAGCGAAGAAACCCTTCATCAGAACCCACGAATTAAAAATAACAAAAATAAAGTTTCGCAAGTCGACATCGCAGCAGTTCTGGTATTCACATACTTATAATAGTTTCCAGGACCCAACCAAATTAAACTCTCCAATTCGGAATCCAACTTAATCGCACCTAAACCATCACCGATAGGAACAATGGGAACAAAAATGCATTAGCGGATTAAAATATCCCATCCACGTATATAGGGCGGGTATCGGCAAAAACTCTTGGGGGTGGGAGTTATGCCAACTGTTGCTTCGACGAGAGAAAGAGAGAGAGAGAAATAGAGAGCCGGCGTGCGTCGATACAATTTGCGATGGCGGCGGCGCGAGCAGCGTCGCGCGCCGATAGATTGGATACATCGATACATACTGGTTGTATCGCTGACGTGGGGGGGAGGGGGAGGAGGGAGATAGCGAGAAAAAAAAAACGCGACAGTGCCGAGTGCGGGCCGGAACGCACAGCTCTTGCTGCGGGCTGCAACCCTAGGATCCCGAGACGCGTCGTGTCTTTCGAATGGCGACGGCGGCGACGTCGCGACGAAAGGTCCGCCGCGCCGCCAGTGACAGAAGACGCGCTGGCGGCGGCGGCGGCGATGACAGCCGCGGCGGCGGCGTCGCGCCGCGCCGATCAAAGCGAGCGAAAAGAGCGGCGGCGCTCGCAAGACGCGCGCCCGGCCTTTCCTGATTCTTCGTTCGACGTGACAAAAAATGCCATGCCCCCTGGCTCGCCTCTTGGCATAATGGGGCGCCATGAGCGAGCGCTGGTTGCACGCGCGTTTAGCCTCGCGGTTATTATTTCGCGGATCTCTTCTCTCGCGAGAGAGAGAGAGAGAGAGAGCGAGAGAGAGAGCGAGAGAGACCCGCTTCTCGGGGCGGGCTGAACCGATACACAGGGTGGGGCAGACGGATGGATGGAGAGTATCGAGCGAAAAAATGGGCGATTGGGTGGGGAGGAGTCGCGGTTCGACATTGATAATCGCCGTTTTCCCGGATCCCGCGGAAAGCAAAGGTTCCGCGCACGCGGATTTCGGGCATTGGGCGCGGAAAGGGAGGATCTGTCGCTTCTGCGATCCTGGTGCCGCGCTGATCGTCAACATTCTTTTCACCATCGGACCGCTCTCCCTTTCGCTCCCGGAGCTTTCTCTATGCAAATGCGACCGAAAGTCGCGATATCATCTCTTTGATAAGATTCATTCGTTCGAGCTTCCTTTCTCGATGTCTTCTTTTACTGATGTCCTTCAAAGTTTTAGAAGATAAGAAGTATGCCTACCGCGCGCTTAATCTGTAATTGAGATCTTTTTATAGGCACAAAATTATATATTGAATAAGTGTTATTTATTAATTAATAATAAATAAAATCTAATAAAGTAATATCAAAATAAAATAGTCATTTAATTCAAGTAGACGAAACTTTTATACATGATATTTTTAAACGTTAAAATAACTTTTCTTTTATCTAAATGTCTAAATAGATGAGCTTTACGTGTTTTTTTTTTAAATTATCGTTTGATTACAATTCTAAAAAATTGTATATTTCAAATAACGAAATATTAAAAATCTGTTTATGCACTATTTATAGGATTGAGTTACGAGGATGCTTTGAGGGATGGTGTCATCTTCTGCAAGCTCATGAACAAATTGCAGCCCGGCCTGATCTCCAAAATTAATACATCCGGTGGCGATTATAAGATGATGGACAACCTGAATCAGTGAGTATCTCATACGGTTCTGAAAAATGTAAAATATATTATTTTTGACGTTTCACAAAAATACGAAAAATTATTTAAACATTACATATAAATCACCAAACAATATAAAATTATATATATAAATCACTAGCGGGTCCTGATATCGATAATAGGGTGGAGGGGTTTCTGCACAAAATTGTTTAATTTTGTCTTATTTTAGCTTTTGCTCCAGGATCAACGATGAATCACAGAAAAAAACAGTATCCTTGAAAGAATGCAAATATGCCTTGATTCAAGTATATTTTATCCTTATAATAGCGCCAAATATAAATAATTTTGGATAAAGGATAATTTATCCTTAAAACAAAGTGCAAAATATTCTTGGTTCAAGCTGAAATTTACTTATAAATATTGCAAGGATAGGAAGTGACAAGTGAGCATCGGATATAAGCGCTACTTTCAAGTATATAATAATAATTCTTAGTTCAAATGTGACTAAGTTTGTTTTTACCATATACGATTTTTAAAACAAGAATATATCTTAAGGATAAAATATACTTCACACAAACTTATTCATTATCAAGGCAAATGAAAATTTGTGATTACAAAGAGCATTCTATGCTTAAATCAATCAAATAGCGTTCAAGAATAAAAATATACTTGAATCAAGGATTCCTTTTTTCTGTGATCTTTCAAATTTGCAAGGAAGGGTTTCAACCGAGGATCCGCTAGCGAATAAAATAAATAATAAATGATATAAAACTATGAAGTCACCAGATGATAATTAAAAAATGGTAATTCAATCGATCAATTCTGGCAAATAATTAAATTTATTGAATTTTTACAACGTTTCGGCCGTGGGTTTCGGCCCTTATCAAGTGCTATGTTCTTAAATCAAAGTAAATCACAACTTTTTTAAAAAACAAAAATTCGATCTTAAAATATGATATATAATAACATGATCACAGAAAAAAAGAAATCCTTGATTCAAGTATATTTTTATTCTTGAACGCTATTTGATTGATTTAAGCATAGAATGCTCTTTGTAATCACAAATTTTCATTTGCTTTAATAATAAATAAGTTTGTGTAAAGTATATTTTATCCTTAAGATATATTCTTGTTTTAAAAATCGCATATGGTAAAAACAAACTTAGTCACATTTGAACTAAGAATTATTATATATATTTGAAAGTACCGCTTATATCCGATGCACACTTGTCACTTGTCCTTGCAATATTTATAAGTAAATTTCCGCTTCAACCAAGAATATTTTGCACTTGGTTTTAAGGATAAATTATCCTTTATCCAAAATTATTTATATTTAGTGCTATTATAAGGATAAAATATACTTGAATCAAAGCATATTTGCATTCTCTCAAGGATACTGTTTTTTCTGTGTAATAATAAAAAAATAAATAATAACCTGACAAATAATATCGCACTTTCACGGTTCAGTGTTTCCCGAATAATTACTATCGAAGCGAGAAACACGCGCCTGCATTCTTGGTGCATCGCGCCTAAGTAAGGTGTCTCCCGCCTATCTCGTCGGTCTCTCAGGTCTTCAGCATCGGGGCGGCGACTTCCTGCGGTCTCGTGTTACCCTAATCCGCCGTCGACTTTACGCAATCGACAGTGTTTTGCGTCAATTTCTCGATTGCAGAGTATCGACAACGCCGATCAACGACCGTCGTCGAACAGTCGAGAGATTGTTGACCCTCTCTCGACTCTTCCGAGTTCGAGAGTCACGCGATACTCGCGGCCGATCGAAACGGCGCGAAAGCGGATCCCGCCTCCTGCACGCTCGTGGCCGCCTGGTAATCGAGAACCGACAAAGTCTGAGGTCGGAACCATCGACTATACATTGGAGCGCGATGAAAGTGAAAACGGAATAGATATGTATATGTAGACACGCGGCGCGCAGCTACGAAACCCGCGCGCAGAAAGCGGAATTCGCGTTTTTTATCAATTTATATATATACACTACTCATTTTTCTTCGGATAATTTCCTTTCGATTTTATACGCGAGATTGATAAAAATACGTAGATTCGATCGAATAACGTTTAATTTCGATGCGAAGTTTCATATTCAAAGGTGTTCCTCGAGGGTGATCTTTTCTAACGTCGTTTAATCCGTATATAATTTGTTCTTCGTATGTCACATGAAAATTGCTAAATATACTTATCCTCTCGAGATTTAAATATTCGTTCAATTCTCCCAGGTTGTCTCGCGTTTAATTCTTCATACTCTCGCACATAGATAATTCATCCGGCAAGATGCCGCAGTTGCAATCCGAAAATAGGATTATATATACATATATAATACGAGTCGAACGCCTGTAGCACACTGCTACAATCCTGATGAAATATTTGCCTGCGAGGAGGTGATTTTAGGACAAGAGCAAAGAAACGCACCCCTTCGGAAACTGCGCTTTCCCTCTTCGTTCTCCTCGGACGAGGCCTTATCCCTATTACCTTCCTCGAGCTGTCAGATGACACGTGTATACGTTGTTTCACGCGCTTACAGCCACCCATCCGCCTCCGGCCGACGAGGATGAGGATCCGTCGCGGTTCCTCATCCTCGCGTGTCGTCTTCTCCCGAGCATCTCGTCTCGTTCCACGTGCGCATGTCGCGCTTCTTCGGCATTTGGCGCGTTTTGAATGTTTAAGAGCGCTTCCCCGAGGTAGTGGGGCGAACGATGCGCAGCGCGGCCACTCCGCGTCACTCCCTTTCTACGCGAGCAGCATAATTCCGGCGAAGGTGATACCCCGCCGCGCGTGATGTCGCGCGTCTTCGCGGCCGCGCGTAAGATCGCGTTTGTTACGTGTATACATATATATATATATATGTATATGCATTTCGCCGCGCGCGAGAAGAGACGCGCCGAGACCCTAGACTCGCCTCATGCGCCTCTGGTAGACGGACCGCTCGTAAGCACTGACCTGCCTCACGTTTTCCGCTTGTCCGGACGCACACACTTGGAACCAGCTGATCGATAAGCACGCAGGCGACGTTTCATATTATTGATCATCTTCGTATTCTTCCACTCTCTTAAGATATTCGCGTTAACGTTAAAAAGATGCGCGGTTTAAATATTGCATTTTTTTATTTTCTATTTTTTGCGACATGAGATTTAAAGAGCTCCTATTAAAGGCGGGACTTTTCGTTCGATTAATCGATCTGCGAGATGTTACATGTTACGAATCACGCGCTGTTAAGATTCGCGTTAACGTTGAAAAATGTGTTGGAAAGATGCGCGGTTTAAATATTGCATTTTTTAATTTTTTATTTTTTTGCGACATGAGGTTTAAAGAGCTCCTATTAAAGGCGGGATTTTTCGTTCGATTAATCGATCTGCAGACGTTACATGTTACGAATCACGCGCTGTTAAGATTCGCGTTAACGTTGAAAAATGTGTTGGAAAGATGCGCGGTTTAAATATTTCATTTTTTAATTTTTTATTTTTTTGCGACATGAGGTTTAAAGAGCCCCTATTAAAGGCGGGACTTTTCGTTCGATTAATCGATCTGCAAGACGTTACGAATTACGCGCTGTTAAGATTCGCGTTAACGTTGAAAAATGTGTTGGAAAGATGCGCGGTTTAAATATTGCATTTTTTAATTTTTTATTTTTTTGCGACATGAGGTTTAAAGAGCCCCTATTAAATGCGGGACTTTTCGTTCGATTAATCGATCTGCAAGACGTTACGAATTACGCGCTGTTAAGATTCGCGTTAACGTTGAAAAATGTGTTGGAAAGATGCGCGGTTTAAATATTGCATTTTTTAATTTTTTATTTTTTTGCGACATGAGGTTTAAAGAGCCCCTATTAAAGGCGAGACTTTTCGTTCGATTAATCGATCTGCGAGACGTTACATGTTACGTATCACGCGCTGTTAAGATTTGCGTTAACGTTATAAAATGTGTTGGAAAAATGCACGATTTAAATATCGCATTTTTTTTTGCGACGTGAGATTTGCTCCTATTAAAGGCGAGACTTTCGTTCGAGTCGATTAATCGATCTGCGAGATGTTGTGTATCACGCGAGAGGCGTGATTGACAATGATAATTGCCTTCAAAGCGGAGGCTGATTCTGCTATCCTGTTAAGCGGACACACGCGACACGTCATTTCCACATTCTACAGAGAACAAAGCGATCGCTAGACTCTCGTATTCCCAGACTACGACATGTTGGGCAAGCTGTTAATTACCTAGCTGCTAGCAGGTGGATTAGCGGCCGAACAATAGAAGCGCGTCACTAGCTGAAAGCGACGCCCAGGCGAGCAGCCGTATAAAGGAGTTCAATGTGCCGCTCTTTTGTGTCTCCCTCGCCTTTGTTTTCCCTCCGACATGCCGCCGTTCTCGATGATGCGTCTCGCGAATCTTCCTCGTCGCAATTCGATCATATTTTTCTGGAATATATTTTCGCGTTAAATCGAATGGGCGATATTAGAAGCGAGAGTCTTTTTTCTATTTATTTTTTATTGAGAATTAATGAATATTCTTTTTTATTAATAATAAATATATTAATTAATAAATATCTATATTAATAATAAATACAACATTTTCAGATTCCAAAAAGCCTGCGTAAAATATGGCGTACCTGATGTCGATCTCTTCCAAGCTGTTGATCTGGTGGAACGTAAAAATATCGCTCAAGTGACGAACACCATCTTCGCCATTGGACGGACGGTAATTAATTAATCATGTCATTTTATTATTTTTTAGCTCTCTGATGCGATGGCTAATTTAATACGTTTATTAAATTTTTAAAGTTTGCACATTTCTTTAAGCAACAATCTTTAGTTTGCAAGTTTATATGATCAGATAAATAGCCAAGATTTGCAATTAACCTGAAATCAAACAACATGATAGAAATTAAGTACTTAATTTATTAATTCTTAATTGCATTAAGTAATTTATATTAAAAATGAAAACATATTTCTTATACTTATAAATTATTATTTGCAGACGTACAAACATCCTGAATGGCGCGGTCCTTGGTTGGGTCCGAAACCAGCGGAGGAAAACAAAAGATCCTTCACAGAGGAGCAATTAAGAGCCGGCGAGGGACTTATCGGCTTGCAAGCTGGAACTAATAAAGGAGCTACTCAAGCCGGGCAAAATTTCGGAGCTACGAGAAAGATACTTCTTGGAAAGTAATTGATAGAAGTTGCATTTTTTTAATTGCTGCTAGAAATTTTCTGTTCGACAAAAGGTAATCTTTTAAATAAATATACATATAAAGACATCGCTATATGTGAAATTATATCATTAGATTTGTGCACTCAATACTTTTGCAAAAGGACACTGCGTTTTACAATTTTTCTTTGTTAGAATACATATACTCTGTAAAAGAAAACTGAAATAATTTTTTCCGTTGGAAAAAACAAATGAGTGATATATGTATACGTATCTGACACAACATTTATTCTGTGTTTAGTATATCTATTTGACGTGAATGTATTTAACAAAGTAATAATAAGTAATATATAATAATACTTATACAGTTTGACAATGTAAATTACATTTATTATTTTTACTTTATTGCTATAAAACATGGCAACTTATATACACATTAGGTTATCCAAATCTTCAAAATTTTAATGCCATAACAGAGAACTGAAATAATTTTTTTTTAAATCAATATAATTTGATTATATATTTTCTTATATAACTCTAATTTTTTACATATTTAAAACATTCAATATTTTATTAATCAAAATTCTGCCAAAGCTCATTAAAATTTAACTGAAAAGAAATCTAATTCTCCTTTTATAACATCTCTGAAGGGCAACTTATATTTTTTTATTCGCTGATAACTCAAAATTTATTTTGTCTCATTTTATTAAAAAAATATTATTTGACAAATATAAAATTCGACAAGAAATATCGTTATAAATGTAAGAAATATACTCTTGTAATGAAACATTCTACATCCTAGACTTTAAGATATATCCTGTTCTTAGCGCGTAAAATTCCTAGAGCGAGAATCTTGTCGCTGTTGCTAGTTTCCTGGCAACTCGCTCGGCGCCCGACAATCGTCTCCTATCCCGAGTTCTGTGTCGGTGCATGGAGCGTGACAGCAGGCTGCGCTATAGACACGTATATACACATCTCTCTGCACGCGTGTCGCGACATCGCAAACGCTCGAAGATCACTCGTCGTATGCACAACATACGCATCGGACGTACGTATGTACGCAGGTAGCGGAGCGCGTATGCGACGACACGAGCCTCGTACGTGACAGGGACGACGAGTGGGCGTGACGTGTACGTACACGCGTTACACGCATTCCTTGACCGGTTTCTACACCGCGAGGCTCCCCGAGGATCAGGCGAACATCCTAAGATGAAACATGTTCCGCCGATGCGAAATCATGCTACGTTTTTCTCCGCTCGTGCATCATTATTTGTTCCGCAAAGCCGGACGATAGATGATTATGACGAATTAGAAAATTGATTGTTAATTTATTGTTATTTTGAAGCAAGTCTTGTCTCGCTGAGCAAAAGTTTATATAGAAAAATATATATATATATATATATATATATATATATATATATATATATATATATATTAATATTTAGATGCAAGTATGATCTCTTATAAGAATGACAAAAAATATAATAATTAATATTAATAGATGATTTGATAATTTGGTTAAATAATGTCAGAAACTTTCGATTTTCATTAACTTTTCCTGTTACATTATAATAATTTATAATTACTTTTAGATGATTTGTTGAACGATGAAGTAATCAATTACAATCATCAGAATCAAGTTAAAGGTAACATTCATTGCGTAATTGTTTATCTAACAATAAGATAAGCGATAGATCTTTAAGATGCAATAACAGATAAAAATCAAACAAATTAAAAATATGAGTGTAGTAAAATATACATATAATTATACTAATTCTCTCAAATAGTTTATAATGTACGTAAAAATATAAAAGAAAAGTTAAAGGAATATAAAAAGATAAATATATCTATTTGCATATATGCATCTATTTGCATACATATATATGTATACGTAAGTGTTCTTCTATCTATGTGCTAGAACATGCAGAGAAACATGTCTATAGTACATCGAAATGGTCGATTAAAAATAAGAATGTAAAGAAGGAACAAATGGAAAAACTATATATTTAAGTATCAATGTATCTTTAGACATATTTTATATTTTGATATTTGTATTTTTAGAGTGTATAATTGTATACATTTTATCACGTGTCGGGCCATGCACGATGCCTCCACATCCGCGCAATGAGTTGGCGGCCAGTTCTCGGGGACCCCCTGGCACAGGCTAGCAGCATCCCAAGGAGTCTGCTCCCGTCCGGACGAGCGGTCCAGAGCCAGACGCACTCGCGGCTCACCTCCCGACGTCTTATGCGCTCCTCTTGAAAGGGGAGCGCTGCGGAGTGGCCGCTCCGCGCATCACTGCGCCCCACTATTCTTCCACGCACTCGCAAACCGCGTACATACGAACGCGGCGCGCGCCGGAGGCTGACTCGATCGTGGTCAGCTCGTTCCTTTCCCACATTACATAATTTGCGGATTCGAATGACTTCTACATTCCATTTCTTCGTTGTCTTCTATAAATACGAGCGTTACCTAACTTAGACATAGTCAATTATTATGTAATGTTGCGTCTGCGGATTTTTTTGCGTCTCTCTTGTTCATATATACAATTGCAATATGCAAACGTTTCATTATTATATGTATATGAACAAAAATAATGATTTGTTATATTAATTAGATATACATATATAAAAGAGAGAAACTCGTTAAATAGCTTTAACATTGTGAAAGAAGTCTTGTAATAATCAGAAAGCTTATTTAATCGCGTCTGTCATCTGTGTCCAAAAAAAAACCGATATCCATATTTTGCGAGTGGAAGAAATTATCTCTCGAGTCTTTTCGAGCTATTTTAGTTACTTGGACACACAAACTCATTACGGAAATAATCCGAATTCACATTGCATATGTATGTGCAAGAGAGACAGGCGGCTCTTTCATGTTCCTGACAACCTATTCGCATGGAGTTCATTGGTACGTTTCCACGGTGGTCCGTGCTGTAGCACCCGATTCGACCGAATGCGAATGACCCACAAACTTGTTATCCTCCTTTCTCTAGCCGCTAGATGTGTGACTGTCTGGATGTTCATGATCTCCCAGTAGAGGGTCGACTCTAGTCGATCGACAAAAGTATCTCGCTATCTACCGGTCGGACAATCCTCGACGAAGATTCTTTCGCAGAATGCAGCGGATTGCGAGAAGCGTTTCATCTCGTCAATTAAAATTTTCGAAGAAATATCGTTGTTTTGTGGCGCATTCCTCTCTCGTCGCTTTTGTTAAATCTGAAATGTAAAATCCAATCTATGAATTACAAGATAATTAATTACGAGTCGCGTTTACGCAATCTTTTCAATCTGGCGATTTTTCTTTTTATCTTTGATAATAGCTAGAAGAAGCGACGAGAGATGATCGGAAGAATAATGTATCTCTAATTCAGGAATTAAAGATGCATTTGTCGAAAGGTCAACGAAAGTTAACGTGTAATATACGACGCGTGTTCAAAGATTTGATATAATTGAGCCGAAGACATGAATTAGTAATGATATCCTGCTTGATGTGAAACGCGTATTAAATATTTCACATATCTCTTTCCATTGTGGCTATAGATATACATATGTCACGAAGTTTTGATTAACCCATATGATTGCGTTGATAAGACGATTGATGGAAGTGGAATGCGATGAATTTAGCACGTATAATGGTCTTGTACACGTGCGATAATTATATGTCATCAAAAATATGAGCCATAAATATTTAAATTATGTTAAAATATGAAATAATAACACGATAATCGATCGCAAAATATGCGAGTTTAAAGTTGATTAATTCGATTTTTTAAATAAATATATATATTTTATTTAATATATGCATGTATATTTAAGAATCGAAAAATTCCTTTCATTGTAAAATATTTTTAACTGATCTTTCTTTTATACTTTAGTGTTGTATTAAAATATTTAAAATATTTAATCGATTAAAATTTAATTAATTTATTATAGTGTTAAGATATTATGTAGTAAAACTAAAAATATTTATGGCTAAATATTTTTAATTAACTTTTTTTATACTTTGCTATTATATCGAAATATCTAGGATAATATAAAGATGTAGAAAAATTTTAATTGCTTTCAAAAGAGGCGATAACTAAAATCAAAAGTATAATATCTATTTATATAGATTCTGTAGGATACATTTCTGATAAAAAACGACGCGGATAATCAATCAATTTTCATTTTTTCATAAAGGTTAAAGATTGCAAAAATCTTATATATATATATATATATATATATATATATATATATATAGTGCAGAATTTATTACTTTTTAATAAAATTTTAATAAAATATATACCTACACGAATGAATGAAAAATTGTTACTATATTACTGCGTATTAGTATATATAATATATATTCAAAATATATTGTAGATAATAATTTATACTAGATATTCTCGATATATGTGTACTAATAAAAAACTCGGATATAATAGCATTATTCTTAATATAATATACTTATTGTATATTGTTATTGTATCTCGCAATACGTGTACGTATATCTCGAATGTTTCTAGAATATACCCAATATACTTTTATGATATTCTTAGAACGCATTCTGAGAATTTACATGTGCTGTGTGGGCGATATATGCGATAAAATTTTTGCTGAAGAGCAGAGTGCGTTTGCAAATTAATCCAAGTATATCCGTAGACGTAATTCCAGCGTTTTCGCTCTAAGCGCATGTTGTATAACATATGATTTATAGTAATATTCTTGTCAAGGTGAAGTGACTTACGCATCAATCTGCGCCGTATGCTCTCTCACCCATATGCTTATTCAAATGATTTACGCTCGATTCAAAAGAGCGCCTAGCTGACTTGCGGTCGAGGTTTCGATATACGTGTATGCGAGAGAGAAAGAGAGACAGAGAGAGAGAGAGGGATATTCGCTCTATCTTGAGAACGTCTATTTTTATACCGGCAGAGCGAGACTGATCTCGCTGCCATCTGTGAAGCGGCTTCACACGCGGATCTGGGTGCACTTGTGCACGACCTCGACTCCGGATTTGTGTCTTCTAGAAGGAATGGATGTGGTGGTTTCTGTGATGTTGCATGACAACAGGTATTTTTTGTTACATACTATGTCGTACTAATTAATCTCGTTTCCGATGGATGCCAATTGGTCATTGTCTCATTTCGCAACAGTACTTATAATTTTTACAATTGTGATGTGTCTCTCTTTTTATACAGTGTATGTGCCCTGGGATGTTAATTTTTTTCTTATGTATATTTTCTGTGTTTTGCAGTTTTTCTTGTGCAATCTTGCCTAGAATGTGAACAATGATCTCTTCGAGGAGTGACAGTTGTATGTTTAATCACAAGTTGAGCTTCAACAAGGGAAACCAGTATCGTGCGAAGAAGAAATGATATACATTTGCTTTTGTACTTTAGCAGGTGAAAATCTATTACAAGCATTTTGGTGGCATGTCAGTTGGGATATCTATTTGACACTTTGTTTATTAATAGATATACACATTAAGTTTGGCTACTCCATTTTTTTGGAATATATACCATAAAGTAAGAAAACTCAAGGATATAATAGCACAGTACACATATCTGACGGATAGTCTCAAGCAATATGCCTTCTACTTGTGGGGATATGGCCGATATAACTGGTAATGAACGTTTATCTGTATTACTATATATTACGCATCTCGCTGCTTCGATATAACAGTTGTACAAATACTCTTAACATATAAGAGGATAATTTTATACAGCTGCCTCGCAATTAGGCATCATGGAAGGCATTTCCAGTACAGACAGTGTTGGAACGCAAAGTGACATATCAGGACACACAACTGTACCAGGAAGGCCCAGGATGGATGTAGCCTGTGTCTTGGATTTGCAACAACCAGAACATCTTGCTCAGCGAAAGAAAGCATTAGATGAAGTTAGACAAGCCTGTAATTTGGTCAATGCTAATATACATCATATTCAGGTATATTTTTGATATAATTCAACTATTTAAACAAGTCACATATATTTTAATTAAATTTGAGCAAAATATGATAAAAATGAAAAAGAAACATGCAACGTGTGTCAGTTTTAAAATTTAGATTAGAGTAAAAATATTTTTAGAAGTTTAAAAATGAATAAATAAAGAAAAATATATTATGTGCAAGTAAAAAGAAGAATTTGTTTTGCATTGTATCTTTTTACCTCTTTTAATTTTGTGTTTATTCTTTTTAGTTTGAAAAGCTTGATTTTGGTGAAACCAATGTGTTGGACACATTTTATAATGCTGATGTGGCGGTTGTTGATTTAAGTATTCAGTTGCAACAATCTGCATTATTTTACCATCTTGGTGTCAGAGAAAGTTTTGGAATGAAGGAAAACATATTGCTATATAATGATGTAGATACAGAGGCTACAATTAGACTTAAGGTATGTATATGTTTATGTTCTTGCTTCTAAAATATGGATAAAAATCTTGCATTTATTACTAAATGCAAAGAATAATATAGTGATAGTAACACACAAATGACCTTGGCGATTTATTAGACTTAGAGTGCACTTTGTAGCAATGATCTCAATTAAAGATTCCATAAATAGATTGGTAGAAGTAACTGCATTATTGTAGTATATCAAGCAATTTTATAGTTATTTTTTAAATATTTAATATTTAGAAATTTCCTATTAACTAAATTTCTTTTTCTTCACATAAAAATTATTTTTTATATTTCTATATATGATGTAAAAATTATATAAATTTTTATATCTTTAGAAAAATATATTCAATTTAATACGATATGAATGATAATGACTGTACTGATAATTTATGAAAATTTGGAAAACAAGTACTGATCGTCATTTTGCATATTTTATTTTATTATTATACATGTAATTATTTTGAGCAAATTAATTTCACATAAATATTTGTATATTTTAAAATTATCTTAAATATTGATTATTAATTAACAATTTATGTATAATTACATTTGTATTGATTCAGCTGAAGGAATTGTCATGTACTGTAAAACTCTGAAGTGATTATGTATCTTTATCGTCGGCAATAAATATATAATATAAAACATACCGGATAAACGTAATCGATAGCATGATCAGATGAAACGATATCCGTGTCTGTCAGGCAAGCATCAAATATGTAATTCCGCTCAATATGGAGTAGAAAAACATGAGCTCACGATCTTAATATAGCAGTTACTGTCGGTGCTCGCTGATCGCGCGCAATTGTCCACAATCGCTCTTTACAACTTGTCACTGATACGTGCGCGTTCGATTTCTGTATTGTATCCATGTTAATTCCGTTTACAATTATTATGTCGAATAAATTTATTTCAATTTAATAAATCAGAATAAAAAGAAGAGAATGACATTTGAATGTGTATTAAAAGTTAGTGTAAAATATGTACAGCAAATCCATTATGAAATACAGCAATACTGTGACAATTAAATTCAATTATTAATCAAGATTAGTCGTGTTGATAATATAATACTCAAGATATGTCATATAAGAAAAATACCAGTAATCAATTGTCATTTTTAATCAGTGTGTTTTACTTGAAGAAAAAAGATAAAAAAGTTTTTTAAAAAAATGTATATAATATATTAATGTTATAAAATATTTTCTAGTTATCCTGTGGCAGCTATACATTCGTTTCATATCGTGTTGTGGAATCTTGTGGCTCATGTGTAGCTACTAATCCAGCAACCAGCAGAATTACGGGCGAAGAAGCGATAGATCCCAAACAGCATCTCACTTTGAAACTTAAGAAATTGTTTCAAGATGTGGAAATACAATCCAAGTAAGCAATTATAAACATTTTTTATAATTTTCGGTATATAAATAAAAATTTGATTATATCATAAAATTTTTAAGTAATATTTTATTAAAAAGACTAGAATAGACATTTTTAGTAGACTAATACGAGAAATATTTCCGTTAAAAATATTCCAGAGCACATATGAAGGAGAAATTTCTAGCAGACCTGCGCAAGGCGCGCGAGACATATTCTGGAGAGGAACTTTCTAGAGCTCTGAATAACATGCGTAAACGTTTAGATGATCCAAACGTTTTATCGGGAGAAGTTGTTTTAAATGTGCTTATTTCATTTCGGGAAATACAGGTAAAATATTAATAGATTAATAATACTTTTTAATGAGAACTGATACTTTACATTACATAATTATATATATCGTTAAAAATTTGTATTTTTATCTATATTAGGATTACGATGCAATGGTACAATTGGTTGATGATTTAAAAACCATACCAACTCACAAAAATTATATCAATACACCAGCTATAAGATATTTATATGCGTTTGCTTTAAATCGACGAAACAAAGAAGGCGATCGAGAAAGAGCATTAAAAGTCATCGAAAAAGCGTTAGAGAAGAAAGAAAATCATGTTCCAGATATGTTGTGTTTATGTGGAAGAATATATAAAGACATATTTGTGGAAAGTAGGCATACAGATCAGGAAAGTTTAAAGAATGCAATCCACTGGTATAGAAAAGGTTTTGAGGTACAATATATGTGTATAAAAGCTATCTTAATCATTGTGAATTTCTATTAATGCATGTAATTGTACATTCAGGTTCAACCTAATGAATATGCTGGTATAAATCTTGCTACTTTATTGGTCATAGCTGGAAACGAATTCTCTAAGAGTGAAGAGTTACAACACATAGGAATGGTACTAAATAATTTAATTGGCAAGAAAGGCAGTTTACCGAGCTTGAAGGATTATTGGGATGTAGCAACCTTTTTTGAAATTAGTGTATTAGCAGAAGATTATTCAAAGGCAATACAAGCAGCTGAATGTATGTTTAAATTGAAGCCACCAAATTGGTAGGTATATGAGCAATAAAATAATGTGTTCAGTAAAGAAATTATATATATATATATATATATATATATATATATATATATATATATATATATATATTTATATATAATTATATATATTATATGTATGTTAATAAAAATATATATTTTATAAATAATATATATTAATATATATTATATTAATTTGACACAAATTTGTCTTTTTGTATTTAAATATGTATTTAAAATTTATTTTAATATTTGAATTATTTCGATTAAAGTTTTTTTTTCAATTACTAGGTATCTGAAGTCGACAATAGGCAATATATCACTGATAGATAGATTTCGTAAAAAAATGAGGAAGCTGAAATTGCACCGGAGGAACAAATATTTAGTTTCTGGATGGACTACTTTGTCGAAGCTACAAAGGCGGAGGTTGGCGATAGTATACGGTTTCCAGTAAGTTTATAAATGGAATCGTTCTACTGAGGATCCAGTTCCCAATTCGGGAGACTATGGCTTATAGTTATATATTACCAATCCAGCTTACTTCCGTACATTTTGGGTCAAAGTAAGAATAATACAAAACTGCTTTTAGAGCAGATTTATGGATTCACTCTTAAAAAAGAACATCAACTTCCCATTTTAATTATTTCTCTAGTAAAAACGCTTAAACACAACGTTCTTATTAGATTTTAGTGCTGGAACCAACAAAAATCTTAATGCCAAGTTATGTGAATGTAAATCTTGGCGCAGAGGAGAAGTCTATACAAATATGGAATTTGTGTTTGGATAATATGAGAAATAACTGTAAACAAGTTCATGATTGGTTGTTTACTGCAAATATGATACGTAGTGTAAGTTTGTACAAGAGGGACGAGAGATGCCTTTTCTTATATGTACATCAAAATTCAGACGATTTTCAAATGTACTTGCCATCAGTACAATGTAGACAAAGATTTTACGATCTGATCTTAGAAATGACTAGGGATCAGGAAGGCATGGTTACAGATTTGGATGCTTATATGACTGATGATTGCATGAAGGTTTTTATTAATTTTTATTTATTTTATTATTTAACTATTTATTTTTATTAGATATGTTTTATATAAGATACAATATATAATTTACATCATATATTTTTATAATATATAAATTATATATAATTTTTTAAGTTTAATGAGATATTTGTATATTTACAGTTCGAGTATGAATTGGATGATCAAAATAAGCGTATAATACTTGGCAAAGGTACATATGGCATGGTGTATGCAGCACGCGATTTGAATACGCAAGTTAGAATTGCAGTAAAAGAAATTCGTGAACGAAATTTGGGTGATGTACAGCCTCTTCATGAAGAGATTAAATTACACAGTCAATTGAGACACAGAAATATCGTGCAATATTTGGGTTCAGTAAGCGAGAATGGATATTTTAAAATTTTCATGGAACAAGTTCCTGGAGGTAGGAAAAAATTAATAACTGTAACACTTGTACACATAAATAACATTTGCAAATATCGATTAATAATTTGATCGATCTTATAATTTTAGGAAGTTTATCTGCTTTATTAAGATTGAAATGGGGTCCTTTGAAAGAAAATGAATCAACCATCTCATATTACACTAAACAAATGTTGGAAGGTCTTAAATATCTCCATGATCAAAAAATAGTTCATAGAGATATAAAAGGTGATTTATAATATAAGTTTTAGGCTCATTCGTTAATGTATATTATTTTTATTTATCTATACATTTATTTTACATAAATAAAATTGTATGATTTAGGCGATAATGTATTGGTAAATACATATAGTGGAGTGGTAAAAATATCTGATTTCGGTATGTCGAAACGTTTGGCTGGCTTATGCCCAAGTACAGAAACATTTACCGGAACATTACAGTACATGGCACCAGAAGTTATTGACAAGGGTCAACGTGGATATGGTGCGCCTGTAAGTTTATATTTTGTTAAGTACTTTGTTTTGAGAATTTACAGGGTAAAAATGTATTTTCTTGTGTCACCAAAATAATAATCACTCAAATTTTACCTCTAGGCGGATATTTGGTCTTTAGGTTGCACAATAGTTGAAATGGCAACTGGAAAGCCTCCATTTATCGAACTAGGTTCTCCACAAGCAGCTGTTTTTAAGGTATATTAAAAATATATATAAATATATATTTAAAATATTTAATATATTGAATACACGATTTTTTTTTATATTATTAAATTTAACAAATATGTGTTCTTTTTGCAGGTGGGGTATTACAAAATACATCCTGAGATACCATCAGAATTGTCTGAGAGAGCGAAAAGTTTTATACTGCGCTGTTTCGAGCCAAATCCTGATATAAGGGCAACTGCTGCAGAACTATTGGAGGATCCATTTCTTAATGAGTATATAAATTTAAATGCACTATACAGATATAATAATTATATATATAGACACACACACACAAATATATATAATACTTATTTTTATCAGGAAAAAGAAAAGCAGTAGATTAGCTGCACCACCAGATTTCAGTAGAAGTATATCAGTTCCTGCAGACAGAGTGGAACGTTTAGGGAAATGTGATAAAACGAATAATAACCATATTGTTGCTGCCATCCCTATGCAGACATGTCAATCAGATGATGGGTATTGTAACATTTGTATTTTTATCACAATGTGTCGTTTTGTGTTAGTATTCTTGTAATAATTCGTGGCATTTCCGTCTTTGTTTTGCTATGTTATATACTCTTATTCAATTTATTCCATCTGTATCAAGTTTTGATGTCAATCTCATTTTTTTTTGTCACTGAATAATTGTCACATCAGCATTGAGACAATGAATAGAAAATGTCTCGATTCCCAGAAAATATTTTGCGTGCAAATACCTAGGCCATTGCATCATAAAAACGGCTCATACTGCGCAAGCAAGACCTTATTCTAGTGCGTCGTCATAGTGATAGCAAATGCTAGCACACTTTGCACGCGATCTCATCTCGTTATAAGCATACAAGAACATTATTCAACAAGCATATTGCTGTCATTATCACATCACTGGCATATTTTTGGCAATTTGACATCCATGTGCACGTGATTTGCTGGTATATCAAATAATACATAAGCTAACCATTTGCGTGCAAGTGTACGATTAAACATATCCCATAAGCAAAACTCAAGCAAATCTCGTACACAGTTTATATGCATAAAACGCGCAAATTTTGCACGCAAAAATTGTTATCTGGGTTGTTTTCACATTACGATATCGGTAAAGCATAACAAATTCGACGTTTTTACTGAGGTTATTAATTATATAACGTAAATTACATATTTCTCCTCTTAAATTATTTTTTTTGAGTTTCAAATATTGATCATATTTTCCAAACTAAATATGTATGTATTATTCAAATTGCAATATTCTACAAAAGCACAATGTGAGAGTATAAATAGTATAATATTTTTTTATGTGAAAACACATTGTGCGAATTGTAATTATAAAATATTAAATTTAGTGGTGGGTTAACGAAGTCAAGTCCATTGAGGGAACGCAGTCCGGCCCACCTATTATCTCCCATCAGCATGCCTACTTCAACCCTTTCTTTTAACAGGTATGGTTCTAACTTTGTAAATCGCATTAAATCTATGCAAAAAAAGTATAATTAAAAATTATTTATTTATTTATTGATAACATCTATAGAAGTAAAATGTATAGAACAAGATTTACATACATAATCATTTATCATTATTGATATTATATGAGTAAAATGCTTAATTGCCCTGTCTCTTTAAATTGCTTACTTTTTGTCTAAAATTATTAGCTATTAAAATATGCTACTTAATGTTTAGATGTTGCATAAAGTTTCAATGTATAACCCAATGATGGTTTATATAAAAATATAAATCATATTCATTACAAGATTCCTTTATGTTTTGTGCAAACAATGGTACATCGTTAATTATATATATGCAGTTTATTTATTTATTGTTATTAATTAGATATATCTATTAAAAAGCAATCTCATATTTTTTATTATTAATTACATGTTACATATACTAACATATATGTTGCTTCATTAATTATAAATTTTTTGATCATATATATACATATAATAGATATGCTATATAACATATAAACAATATATTAAAATATAATTTATATTGTTAAAATAGTTCTCTAACATTTAATTTATCTCAGTATTATAGCTTTTTATATCATTTTTTTAAAATAACAATTTATATTTAAAAGATGTAAAAAACTCTGAAATCACCAGATGAAAATTAAAAAAGTAATTTAATGGTAGTAATTTAATGAACCACATTTAACTTTGATCTTAGAATGTGACAAGATATTAAGGTTTTTTTATAAAAAGTTATGTCTTAGCACTTGATAAGGGCCGAAACCCATGGCCGAAACGTCGTGAATATTAAATAATTATCACTTAATTTGTCAGAGTTGGTTGATTAAATTACTACCATTTTTTATATTTAAAAATTGATGGATCATCTAAATTATATAAATATCATATACATATATAAAAAGTATTTTGTATTTGTACATATACATATATATATATATATATATATATATATATATATATATATATATATATATATAATATAAACACATTATTTATGACTTATATATTATTTGATGAAATTAAATTAGTTTTTATTATAATAATTAGATAAAATAATATCAATATTATTTAAAATTATTTAGATTATAAAATTAACTTTGCAATTGTACTCAACACACACACATGTAGAATGCTAATATAATATTCTGACACAGTATCACTTAAATTACATAATATTTTGTAATAATTTGTTATATATAAATGTTGTAAAAAAAGTGTAGTTTTTAATATATGACAATATTAATTTGCTGCTCTTTATATCTTTATAGTACAATAGGGAATACTCCATCGATAGAAACCAGTGAAAGTGATGCAGCAGGTGCTTCAATAACACGAAGAAGTTCATCTGGTGGGCTGTTATCGCCGGAAGTTGAATTGGGAGGTAAATATATGCAGTAATAATAAAGAAAGATATTTTTCAAGGAAATATAGCGACTGAAAATTATATTTACAGAAAATAAAAACTTACATAAAATCATAAAATATATAGTATCACATTATAGTAATATCGTTTATATCGAATAGATTAATAAATTACGAGCCATTCATGCCTCTAACATTATTTTATGCTATGGTACTATTTAATTTAATAATTAATATATATATATATATATATATATATATATATATATATATTTATATATAGTATATTTTATTATTTATATTATTTATATTTATTATTATATATTTATCGATAATTGGGATTTTACAGGACAACCAGGACAAAAATCGGGAGAAGAACAAGAGGGATTTTATTTATTAAAAAAGGATAGTCAAAGACGCATGACATTAACGAGGGTTCTCAATCAAGATGAGGCAAAAATTTGCGAAGTTTGGATGAGAGGAATACATCAAGCAGAGGGACAAACAGTGTTGCAGATGGTACTTGACTATAATATTATATCACATTGCAAATTATATAATATATTAGCATATATTTAATTATTTATTATAATTTTAGAGTCACCTGGTGTTGCTCATGCGTGGTTTGAGGGATTATATCGCCGAGCAAAATCAGGAAGTAATAGTGACTGCTATTCGAACACTGAAAGAGGAATTGGATTTCGATTCAACCGCTATTAATCACTTACATTTGGCCATTTATTTATTTCAAACGGCAGTAAACGAAGTTCTCAGAATGCACAGTATAAAGCCACATTGGATGTTTGCTTTAGATAACTTGGTCAGAAATGCCGTTCAAGCTGCTATCACCGTGTTATCTCCTGGTGAGTATCATTTTTCTCATTAAAACAGAAGTGGATGCATTATGTGTGCATTTGATAAGTTTTTATATATTCAAAAGAGGCATCATCGAAAACTAAATCTTAAATATCCGTAAAGAGAAACGTTTTATTTGTTTAATTGATCAGATTCTCATATTTGTATATTATGTGATACATGAACTAGATGTGTGACGTTCATATGTATCTCAAGTGTAATACACGTGTGTAGATTAAGTATGTTATCATGTCAACTCTAAAAATATCTCGAGGGAAAGTCATCACTAATAATAAGGGATCTCTTGTAAACGTCGTGTTCAGTAAGAAGATTACTGCATTCCAATAAAGTTCACACGTCTGGTTTAGGCAAATATTTTATCGAAAATCGATAGATTAAATAGATTAGACAAATATATCCAAATCGAAAAATATTTTTAAAAATGTGTACTATATGAAACGCGTTTTGTGTTACAAATTGTGTATCTAGAATTGGGAGCTAACTTACTTGGACAAGAGCGAGTGCAACCTGGTGGTCAAGGACCCGAAGAAGGCTCAACATCTGGAGTGTCGACAGTAAATTCTGTAAAATCGCAAAAAACCGCTGATTCCATTGATAATAAGTATTGGAAAGAATATAGAGATCAAATGGGAGCGCTAAAAATGGAAAACATGAAGCTGCTTCAGGAATTGATAGAAAGTCAAAAAACGTATCAGACGTTATTACAGCAGGCCCTCGAAGAGCAGAGACTCCAAGTTAATACATTGACGCATCTGTGTGAAAATATTAATAGAAGAACAACGAGACAGGAATCGGGGTACGAAACACATTATTTTATTTATTGCTGCAACATAAACTATACATTGACATTATGTGCGGTTTGTTATAAAATATATTTTTAATATATATATATATATATAAATAATTTGTGTCGCAGTTATAATTCTTGCATCTTGCCAAATCTATTTCAACAATCAACGTCCTCGACCGATACACATAACAGTACTACTTTGCATCCAGATATGGCTCTTGTCAATTGGTTAAGAGATCTTCAAGTAGATGATACATCGATCGATAGGGTAAGCATATATTTGAGGATATCTGAAAAAAAAGAATAAAAATATTAGTTAAATATTATTTATTTTATACATATACGATATTTACGAACGTATTATTTTTTTTTAATGTTTTTAGTTCACATATGAGGAATATACACTGGAAGATATTTTACATCATGTTACACGAGATGATCTTCGCAGGTTAAACTTAAGGTAAGAAATAAATTTTTTATAAAAATTTTCTATGATATTTAATACATAGAAATAAATATTTTACAATTATTAACATTAATTATCCTGTACAATTTTAGGGGAGGAATTGAACTCAGGATATGGCAGGCCATAATGAAATATAAAACATGAAAAATAATGGCAATTAATGCAAATTATATCTATTTTTTCGTCATTGTTAGTGACGGAATATTAGTAGTAACTGAAGTTTCAAGCAGGGTAAAACATATTTGTCTCACGTGCGCAACAAAATTATTTAGTTTATCACAAGATAAAAATAATGCTTTAAATCGATCATATACATAGATGCTACACTATTATACTGGGGACACAAATCAAACTTCCATAGAAAGAGAATTTTTTTATGACATGATGATATTATCTGTCGTAGTTCTTACAAAAAATACATTAATATTACTCTTTACAAAAATAATTATATAAGAAATTTGTGCAATTGATGATTTATGTGAACATAATGTATTATTTTTGAGTATATTTTATTACAGATTTTATACATTTTGTTAAAGTTTCATAATATCAGAATATGAAAAATATTTTTATACATGGAATATATATTTCATACATTATATTTATAAGAAATTTTGTAGATTTAATTTTTCAATTTAAAAGGCAGATAAACTTCACAGAAATAATCATCTTTACTCTAGATATTTAAAAAAAAATAAGAATAACAAAAAGTTATAAAACAATTATAAATGTTACTCTCTTTTTTATTAATATATCTGATAATATTTTTTCTATATATTTTAAAGTAAAAATGTCTTCTCTGCAACAAATTAACACAGATGCTTTCAATAATACAAGTGATGTAACTAATAAATCATGAGATATAAATATATATTTGCTGAATAAAAGCAATTTAATGAAAAATTTTGATTAGAAAACTATTTTCACAAAAAATAATTTTATATATTATATATTATAATAATATTTGTTTATTAATATTAAGACAATAGTTATATGCAACGTTCCTCATTTAAACATGTTCATTAATGATGGGGATGCAATTATTTATAGTGCCTTATGAAACTCGTTCTAGTACAAGGAAAGATATTTAATACATATAGTATATATATGTATTATATTCATATACAATAATGTGATACATTCACATTTTATGTTCTCAAAGAGCAAAATTTTATTTGCACAGAACATATATTAAATCTTCCCAGCGTTGAAACATTAATTGAATGTTTTCGTATCAATTTGTCATGTAAATAAAATGCTTTTTTATAATTTGTGAAAGCTTTACGTCGAGTCATGCTTTGTCGAATTCAGTTAGATTTAGCCTTCTTCCAGATTTTTTCTTTTGTAGATATAAATACTTTTATATGACAAAAAATTTCTATCTTGTACGCAATATTGTAAAAAAAGAAGTGTAAGTCTGTGTTTTTTGCGCTACATATTATATATATTTTGTACAGTTAATTTTGTGAATGTGTAATAGTCGAGTTGAATTTATGCAAGTATCTGATATTTTAACAAACTCTCGAGAGCTTGTTTTCTCGAAAAAACCCGGTGCCTAATTGTTTTAAAAATTTCGCTTAAGATGAATAAACTAGATTCAATTTGACTATACACATACTAATATTGTAATACATGAGCTAATGACTGACGAAATTAATAAACTACTTTCACATAATACTAATATATTAAAATTACACAACGATAATCACATATTGATGCTTGTTTACAAGTGTTTTGCTTAAAATAGCGATTTTGCGATTTGTTATATCAATCTGTCACAATAAATGAGAAAATAAATAAGTGCCAGAAGAGAACTATTGTTAACTACTACTGTTTTTACTTACAAGTAGAATTCATTATTATTGTTACTCGCGTGTGCGATAAAATTTGTAATTAAAGTAATGAATAAATATTTATATTATTTAATATAGCTATAATTATAGTGCTTTATACAAGTTTCCCTTTATTTAGAATTAAAAATATATAGATTTTAAAGCCGGGTGAAAAAGTTACTCTTTTATTATATTATACATTTTTCAAAAACAGTTATATAAATATTTCATGAAAATATTTACTGAAAATAATCTTTTATTCGACAATATTGTTAACGATCTTTTTTTTCTACAACGAATTTTGCGAATTCGTCACTCCTAATTGAAATTGGAAGGCAACGGGGTGAAAAGACGTTTTTCGAGGGGAAAAGCAATAGGGAAGGATGAGTACGTGATCGGCTTCGAGCGCGATATTCTTTTTCGTAGGTAACTACCTCATAGAAACTGTGTCATTGATATGGATGAAGCGTTCTCTTCGTTTCTCGTCGTGATGCTCCGTTTAAAAGATAAGTCAAATAGATTCGCAGCTCGTCGGAGGGTACAGCTTTTCATTCAGCTCGGCTAAGGTTTCTTTATTACGTCGATCGATATCTCGGAAAATCAATCTAGCAAAAGATAGCGTTTATCATCACTTTTAATCTATCACGTTAAACTAAAAAAAAATACTTTACAGTTGCGATTTTTTTCGATTGCATTACTTTTGTTCATGCTAGAAAAAAATTCTTAAATTTTGAAAATAATGTCAGATAATTCTATAATTAATATCGTGTAATCCTTTCTTTAAATAAAAATTTAAAAAAAATTAAAAATTTAAATTAAAACAATCAAGCGCACACTACACGCGCGCCATTTTTCAATTTTATACCAAAAAGAATAATTTTGAAAAATAATATAAAGTTTATAATTCGATAAAATATATATATTTTGTCAGAAATCAGCTGATAACTGTCAAAGATATATGACATTATAACATTGTGTTAATTTATATAACATATTATTTTAAAATTTAATTAGCAAATCAACTTTTTTTTAATCAGCTGATTTCTGTCAAAAAATTAAATAAAGCGTTAATTTCTTTGCCAACTAAAATTTAAAATAAATCATAATTAAATAATAATAAAACATAATGTACAACATAAAATGCGAGCTTCATAAACGCTATTTTATAGGGAGCGAATTAACTGTTACTTAAATCATTTTGGGAGACGAATATGGCCGGAATTACTCGTTTTAAGAAGAGGAAAGAGTGTCGAGCAGCTGCAATGGATATTGCGAAAGTTTTCAATCTGTTAGTATTCTACGAGCATTCTACGAGCATAAAGCGCCGGGGCAAAGCCCCGGTCGTTCGATACAAAAAGTTTTTATCAACATTTATACAGAGGCGAATATACACACATGTACACGCGTGCACACACATACATTGGCGTTTCGTAAAAATGCCTCACCTTTGTTGCGTTGCATTTGCGTGCAAGCAATCTACGCACACGGTCACGGCCGCGTATGAAATATTCAGAGTGGCTGAAACCGCTCTCTCTCTTTCTGGTTTGCCTCCTTTGTGCTGTTCATGAGGGGTGCATCTGCATGCAGATCGATCCTGCATCTAGAAACCGGCTTATCCGCTTACGCATAGAGATAATATACGCACACGCCCCCGTTCGTTTGGTATTCTAAAAAGCGGACGATCCTTTGCGTCTCCCTGTCATGCAATATTCAAAATTTCGTAAGAGTGACGATCAACGAGTCCGCATTTACGCTCTCTCGACGCTAAACGTCGATTTGTTAAAAAGCGACCTTTGACTTATCGAGAATTGCTATAAAATTCTATTAATTTTTTAATTACAACTATACGAGAAGTATGGAATTCTTGCATCGCCTTGAATAAATCCAAGGATCTTTGTCTGATCATCTTTAACATATTCTCCTTATTGTGTGATCACTTATTCAAATTAAGAATAAAAGTGCATACAATTTTGATGAGAGAGATATTCTACATATATACAAAAATAATATTTTCTAAATATATTTGTATTTTAAATTGTCGATATATATATGTATGTATAATTAATAATGTGAACTGTGAAACATATTTGAATATGTGATGGCATATAGCTGTTTTATATTTTGTCGGCACTTTATAGAAAAATTCTTGATTACCTATGCAAATATGCAAATATAATGTGCCTCGTAAATTGTGATCTGTGTCTGAAAGAATCGATTTCGTTCTGCTCTTTGCGTTCATTCGGCATATTTCACTCGGAGGCCATCATTGACGGTCTAATTAAATGATCTTACGAAAGAATCAGAAGAAATATGATTATGCAAATGTTATTGAAACACAGTAGTTTTGAGGGAATTGTCGGTTGTAATCGATTCTTGAGAGTAACGTCAAGTCCATTTACTCCTTGCATTAAAAATTAATGAAGGTCTTTATGATCTATTCAATTGTGCAAATGTTTATCGACCGTAACATGAATGACTTTATTAATACGATGTATATAGTTACAGGAAAGATCAGAAATACGAAAGACTCTTATTTTTCTTTTATCAAGCTGTGGGCAGAGAGATGAGTGTTTCATCGCTGAATATTTTTCCACGTTATCTATCAAGCTCCAGCAGCTGGTAGCTGTTATTACAGCCGCTTCTAACGTTCCCCCATCATCATTAGGAATTCCATAACAGAAAGCTGCGGAGAAAAAGACATTGATTGGCCGTACCTTCTTTTATCGAAGAAAATATACTGTACAAACTCTACAAATATATCACTTAATTAGAAAGATAAGAATAAGTATATATATATATATATATCATTTCGTTTAATCTAACCAAATATAATTACGCACGCAAAGTGAAGTTATATTATTCTTTGATAATAAAATCTCAAAAATTGCGACGCATGCATGCAAAAATTATTATTGTAATCAATGCATACAAAACATATTAATTAATTATGCAACGTATCAAAATTCAATATTTAAATCTTTAATAGAAAATACGAAGGAAGAAATACAATTTTCTACAAGAATCTTTTGTGATCAAATATCTACGCTTTCATTAGACTCGCGTGAGACTATACCCCACACGTCCATCACGCTGCGCGGTTTGCGCGAAACTAATTCTCGTACTGCGAGGTATCGCGAGCGCGAAATCGAGGTCACGTGACCAGCGGACCCACTGGTCATGTGACCACTAGTCATGTGACCATCGGTCCCGCGCTCGCGATACCTCGCACGAGAATTAGTTTCGCGCAAGCCGCGCAGCGTGATGGACGTGTGGGGTATAGTCTCACGCGAGTCTAATAAAAGCGTAGATATTTGATCACAGAAGATTCTTGTAAAAAATTTTATTTCTTCATTCGTATTTTCTGTTAAAGATTTAAATATTGAACCTTAAGGATTATCATCTGTTAAATATTGAATTTTCATGTATTGCATAACTAATTAATATATTTTGTATACATTGATTGCAGTAATAATTTTTACATGCATGCGTCGCAATTTTTGAGATTTTATTATCAAAAAATAATATAACTTCGCTTTGCGTGCGTAATTATATTTGGTAATTGGATTCTCGTTCGACAGATTGCGATTGCGAGGCTGATGATTACGTAATCAGTCAGAAATTTATTTCAAAAAGAAAAATATCACATTTTGCTAAATTGTTAAATTTTCTGTATCTTGGTAGCGC